CGGGAAGAGGGTGATCGACTTCGGGCTCGTCTCCTCCCGCCTCGTTCCCGATCTCGCTCTTCAGTGCGACCTGGAGGGCCCGTGGGCAGAGCGCCGCGTGTGGGGATCAAATGCCCACCTCCAAAAGCTTGTAGGGGGCGGGGGATCCGAGTACTCGCGGAACCAACCAGGCTACACCTGGGAATGCAAGGCCCCGCCCGGGCCAGGGAAACCCACGGGGGCAGGGCCCGGGCCGCGGAAGGAGCTGGCCCGGCCGAGTACTTCGTTGCCCAGCCCTGCGCTGATCCTACGGCAACGGCCAGGCACCGTCTTTTCGCCAACGCCGCCGAATACCTCCACGCCACGAGGAGCAGAGGCTTGCGAGGCGCGCGCCGACGATGGTTGGCGCCCAAGTTAATCGCTTGGAAGGCAGTGGGGCCACCGCTTCTTGGGGGCAAACGGGCGGAACGCACATGCTCGCCTTTCGGAAGAATAGCGCCTCCGGGATCCAGGACCTCCTCGGGCTCAAGATCGGAGAAGCAAGTCCAGCCAGTGATTCTAAAATCCAAGAAGCGGAGCGCTATCTTGGGACTGTACTTGGGAACGCCTCGGAGTGCAAGCACCTGGGGGCCCCCGGGGCAACCCTGATGACGCGCCCCAGAGGATTCAGGAGATTCAGGCCATGGCCCAGGAGCTGGCCACCAAGGCGCCCGAGGACTTGAAGTCCCTCCTGAAGGCCTGCGAGGAGCTCCGCGACATTGCCGACCGCGAAGCCTATCGTGACAAACAAGCTGGTTTCCAAGAGTGGCTAACGCAGGGCTTCCGAGGGGGGGCGACATGGGCCCATTGACACACAGAAGAATGGTGCCACCCATGAGCCCTACCAGCGCAAGATACCGACGGAGATGGAGATCCTCCTCCCTCGCCAGGCCCCGCGGGACTAGGGCGCCTGACATCCTGGGAGTGTCGGGCGCAGTTTCGAGCAGATGCCCAAGCCGCAGTGCCGGACCTGCCTCCCTTCTCCCAGTCTGATGTTGTCGCGGCCTGCAAGTCTTTCCTTATTTCAATGGGCATGGGGGCCGGTCAGTGGAACCCGCTACTTTGGTGGAACCTGCCAGAGGAAACGCGCTGCGAGCTCGCGGCCCTACTATGCGACATAGGGAGCCAGCGCGCCTGGCCTAAGCAAGTTCTATTCAATGAAGTTGGCGCGCGTCCCAATCCCACGTGGTAAGGAGACCGCCCTATCACCAGAGCCCAAGGATTCTACTGCACCTCGTCCAGTCTTCGAAAAGATCATGTTGTCCAGTGGGTCCGAGGGTCCGACCCGCTGAAAGCCGCCCTCCTACGGATCGCCGAGGCCGAGGCCGCATCCTGGCGATCCATAGACTGGGCCGTCTTGCTGCTAGAGGCGGCGATTTTTTTCCTTATCGACGCTTTCAGCACTTTGTCCTTACCTAGGCTCTGCCTAGAAGGGTTCTTATTCTTTTTCTTAAAGGGGCGGGGCAGCGGGGCTTGCCCCGGGCGGTCCCCCCGGCATCCGCCCCGCGGTTCCCCCAGCTGCGTCCCCTTAGCTTGGCGTTGCTTATCTCATTTTTTTTTTCCTCTTCTGTCCTTTCTTTCTTTTTCTTTCATTTTTGCTTAGCTTCATCTTAGCTCAGGTTTATCTTAGCTTAACTTCATCTTAGCGTCGCTGAACTTTCGCATATCAGAGCACAGCATAGCACAGCATAGCGTAGCATAGCATAGCACAGCACAGCATATCATTGCATAGCCCAGCATAGCATAGCATAGCGCAGCAAATCATATCATATCATATCATATCATAGCATAGCCTAGCATTGCGCAGCACAGCACAGCACAGCATAGCACAGCGCAGCACAGCATCGCATATCATAGCATACCATATGATAGTATAGCATAGCGCAGCACAGCACAACACATCACATCCTATCAGATCATAACATAACTTAGCAGAGCACCGCGCAGCATGACATACCATAGCTTAGCCTATCACAGCATATCATAGAATAGCATAGCGCAGTATAACATAGTACTTCATACCACAGCATAGCGCAGCATCGTATGACACAGCATAGAATAGCATAGCATAGCAACTAATGCTGCTCTCCTAGGGGCTCCGAGTTCTAGGTCGGGTAGCACTGGGGTAATTGGACCTACATGCTAGGGAAAGGACTCGAGTGTCCAGCGCGTGCCATGTTCGTGGGCATGTGCGTGCGCACCGCAGGCGGGGTCCTCACTGTGGGCCCCGAGACCTCCGACTACATCGGCGTTGAGAGATCTATCCTCCAGGGGTGCATGCAGGGCGTCGCATGGGCACGCGCGTGCCTGCGCGACATGCTCGCCAATGCACGTGCGCGTTTTCGGTCCATGGCGCTCAGCACGTGGGTGGGCGACCTCTCCCTCTCGACCGGGGGCCCTCGGGAGATTGCGAAACGCCTCATCGTCCAAGGGGCCCAGGACCTCGTGGGGGCCACGACAGCCAGGTGCATCAAGTTTCCAAAGAAATCGCAACTGCTCGGGAGCCAAGGAAACCTCGTGAAGTACGTCCACCTGGGGTCAAACCGCGAGGATACTCGGGAATGGTGGCCCAGGGGGCCTCGCCGACTGCGCTCGGGCAGTTGAGGGCTAAGGTGGCCGCCATTTCGGGGAGACAGAGAGCTAGGGCATGTGCGACAGTTGCCCTACGTCTCGGCCCTAGACGTAAAGGTGACCCGCTCTATTTCGTCTGCTTAGACATGATCAGAAGCTTGGCTGAACATCCTGCCCGGGCTGATGAATGAGAGAGTCGCCCTAGCATCCGCAGGGGGGAGGTGCGTCAGAGTTGCGCGCGAGGCCGCCAATCCTTGGGGACGGGCCAAAGGGCCCATCAGCTCATTCATCATCGCCCTCCTCCAGAACCAGGGCCATCAGTTACCCTGGCAATGGGAAGCGCCCCGCGGTCAGGAGTTCTACCTGCTGCCCTCGGAGGCCCCGCCAGAGCGAGCCCCCTTCGACCTGGAAGCTGTCCCGGGCTCGGACCAAGGGTGGGGCCCATTCGTTTTGGCGGGTTTCGAGGGGCCCTTGGGGCGGCAGATCTGGGACGACCGAGCTGCCAGGCATTTCTGTGGTAAAGGCTTAGAACGCGGCGCTGACCTAACAGTGCCCCAGCGGAATTCCAGGTCATCCCGAAGGACATTTGCACGGCCACGCGGCCATGTTAGGAAGGGTTGCAAGGGGGGCGCTGTGGCCAGGGACCAGGCGATATGAGCAGGAGCCAGACAAACAAGACTGCCCCAGATGCCTCGCGGCCCGAGTCCACCCGCTGCCAGCAGAAGACCTGCTACGCCATCAATGGATCTGTGCCCTCCTTCCGCCGTCCGAAGGGACGGCCATCGACTTTCTCCCGCAGGCCCACGGGGGGCACGAGGACTGGCCATGTTTCTGGCACCGAGGACTCGTCCCAGTGATGTGGATTTACCCGCGCGTGGACACATTGCCAGAATGGGATTTCCAGGCGGAAGGAGGTATCGAGGAATGAGTTCGCCTACAGCTACCCCCAGGGGCTGATGTAGGAGCTGATGGGAGTGGAGGTCATCATTCGAGTGATGGGAGGCTTCGCAGATGTGGATGGGGCTTCGCGATCTGGTTTAACGGGGGTGTGCAGGGGGCTGCCTGGGGACCGATCCTTGTAAGGCGCTGGGCGGTGCCCCTCGCTGAACTGGAAGGCCTGGCCCAGGCCCTACGTCAGACCTCGGGGCCTGGAGATTTTGTGGTTGATTGTGCCTACGTCTTGAAAGCGATCCAGAATGGCCCAGGTGATGCCCCCCCCCTGCGCGCTGCAGCCTGGGCCCGTTTCTGGCGCGAGTTGCACCAGAGGCATGGAGAGGCCACTTTTCGTAAGATCAAGAGCCACCTCGCCGAGGCTGACATTGGCCATCAAGTGGGGGAAGCAGAGTCTAGATTGAATGAAGCGGCCGATCTCGCGACCAAGCGCGGAGCAGCCTTGGCCAGTCTTCCCCGGGACGTTTTGGCCGAGGTTGCTCGGGTTGACGAATTTGCTTCCCGCGTTCTGGACCACCTGCTTGTTGTCGGCCTCGAGGAGGCCAAAGCTCGGGATAAGGGTGCTCATGGGCCAGGGGCTTCCCCTGGATATTTAGTGGCAGCAAAGCGGTCCCGACAAGACGCGAGGATTGCCGCTCGATTGAATGCCCGTGAAGCCACAGCCCCTCAGGTTTCAGTCCGTGTGAATGGAGTTTCTTTCTGCCAGCGGTGCCTCACGGCACCCGCCAGGGTCCTTCCGTTGAATTCATGGCTGCGCTCTCCCTGTGCGGGCTTTCCCCGCCAGATCCACGGGTGCCGCAAGATTCGGTGCCCGCGTGGGTTCTGGTGGTGCGAGGTGTGTGGCTGTTCGGGGCACCTGCGCTTCGATGGTCTAGGGGAAGTTTGCCAGCGTCCGACGGACGCCGGCAGAAGGGCGATAGTCAAGCTATCTAAGGGGCTCCTCCCTCCCAACAGGAAGCACTGGCCAGATGAGCCAGGAGAGGGGGCCCCAGGACCAGACGAGTCCTAATCTTTTTCCCACGGCCCCTGGTCGCAATGAACCAGACTCTGGCCAAGCGCAAGCTGTTCCCAGGAGGAGGCGGAAGACGAGGAGGAGGAGGAGGAGGAGGCGGAGGAGGCGGAGGAGGAGCCCCGGCTCCTGTTCGCCTAACGTCAAAGAAGGAGGAGGCGGAGGAGAATGTGGAGGAGGAGGCGGAGGCGGAGCAGGAGGAGGAGGAGGAGGAGGAGGAGGAGGAGGACGGTCCGTAGCCATTTTGGCTCAAGTCCGTAGCGGTTTGCTCAGGACGAGAGTTTTCTTGGCAAGGGGATCCGCGGCCCCACCTGCTCCACGCCTCGAGACTGTATTGAGGTTTCATCCCTCATCGCCTTTGCGTACCTACGGCGTGTGTCGCACCCTCCGCGGGTGCGAGATGGCATATTGGCAGCAGTTTTGTTGGTGTTGTCCCAACAAACAGTGCAAGTTCAAGTGCAATTATGAGTGGCGTGATCAATGCCTCCGGTGTGGCAAGGACAAAGGCGGCCCCAGTCAGCGCGTGGTCCAGCCTCGCGGGGTCTGGGCTGGTGGCGTCTCCCCTTCCGTGCGTGCGCCCAAGCCGAAGGGACTTCCGCCCCTCACCGACGAGCAGGTCCGTGCCTATGCCGCCATGGACCCCGCTGCGTATGAGGCCGTGGCGGGCACGCTCACCCAGTCGGCGCGGGACCGCATCCTGCACCAGCGGGGCCTCCTCTCGGGTGATCCGCAGCTGGTGTCGAGGGCAGCGCAGAAGGAGAGTGATGTGCTCACGGATCGGCTCGGCAAAGTGCAGAAGAAGTTCGATAAGGCGCAGGAGAATCTGCAACGAGCTGTCCGCTGGGCAGCAGAAGTTGGTGCTGAGCTTGAGGGGCTCCAGCAGCAGCAGAAGGAGGCGGCCGCGCGCGGGGCAGCAGCGCTGGCGCGGGTGGGCGGCGCGGCCGCCGCCGCGCCTTGCACGCCGCCTGGCCAGTGCGACGGGTTGCTCCAGCAGGCGAGGCTGCTCGGTGACATCGAGCTCGAGGCCGAGCTCACGGAGGTGGCGGCGCAGCTGGCGCACGCTCAGCAGGAGCTGCAGGCGAAGGCCGCGCAGGCCCAGCACCCCCCCCCTGCGGCGCCCGCTGGCACCGCCCCGTCTGGCGGTGCCCAGCCTGGCGCAGCCAGCGCGGGCCTCCCCTCGGGATGCGGCTTCGCGGCAGCAGGGTCAGCGGGCGCAGGGCAGCATGCGCCGCCTGCTGCAGACACTGTGGGCGGTGCTGACCATGATGTGCGTGCCCGTGCATGGGCAAGCCGCAACGAGCAGAAGCTGCTCGAAGCCTGTGCCAGCGCAGTCGGCGACGACGATGACATGGACCTCGACGAGGGCGCCAAGCGGGCCATCAAGCAGCGGGCCATCGAGCTGTTCGGCCAGGCGCGCAAGAAGATGCGCTCCACCTACTGCGCCCCACCGCAGTTGGGGTAGCCCGCAGCGCCGCCCGTTGACAGTTCTCACGGCGAATGTGACGAGCATGCTTGGACTTGAGTTGCTCGGGCAATCTGATGAATGGTATGATTGTGACTTGGCGCTTGTGCAAGAGCACAAAGTGCCGCAGCACCAGCGTGACGCGCAGGAGCAGGCGTTGCGCAAGACAGGATGGAAGGCAGCCATCAATCCTGCCGTCCGTGCTGGCGCCGCTGATGGCGCCTCAGACAGCTTAGCGGGCCTATCTGGCGGCACCATGATAGCTACGCCTGCTCGCTATGGGCTCAGCCAGCCAGAGGGCCTCTCCCATTGCGTGTGCCCAGCCAGAGCCTCGCTGTTGCATCTGAGCCATGGTCCGAAAGGAGGTCTGCTGGTTGGCACCATGTACTTGCACGACTCCGAGGACCTCAGTGAAAGGAACTGGCGTATCTTCTGCGACATGGGTCAGGCAGTCAAGAGCTCAGGTCTACCTTTCATCCTCAGTGCAGACTGGCAGGTGACGCCCGAGGAGCTCATGGAGAGTGGCTGGGTGGCAGGCATTGGTGGCGTCGTGGTGGCTCCCAAACTGGGCACGGTCAGGCCGTCGGAGCGCGTCATCGACTATTTCGTGATGTCGCCCTTCCTGGCGGCAGGAGCTCAGCTGACAGTCCTAGAGCACATCGCGATCAGTCCGCATCGTGCAGTTCAGGTTCAGCTTCAAGTTCCACGTCGGGCCCCAGAAGTTCGTGCCGTTCAGCAGCCGCGGAAGTTTCCAGTTCAAGCTCCCATCGGTTGTTGTGGGCATTTCGAGGAGCCCGACTGGGGGCAGCTGGCAGACAACATGCGACAAGTTGATGCCGCTGTAGACACAGCCTGGGCTGCTTTCATCGAGGCTGCGGAAGCCAAATGGTTGAATGTTTTCGATGTTGAGCCGCGGCAAGCCGAGTACTATCGAGGACGTGGAGGCGAACCTCAGCTGAGGACCCTTCAACCTCCGAGGCCATGTTCGGTAACCTTTCCGCAGATCAACGCCGAAGCTACCTGGTGGCGGGGATTGGCGCATGCGCTGCTGGACTACGGCAACCTGCAGGGCGGCTGGGATGCTGTGACTCGTAGGCGCCGTCTCACTCGCAATTGCCGAGCCAGGTCCTTACCGCGTCAGTGCCAGCTAGCGATCAATATTGCTAGACTCGTCCTCCATAGCCTCCCTCTCTCCACCCCCCCACCTGCTAGTTTTAAGAACGCTTGCGCAGCAGCAAGCTGAGTTCGCTGTCCGAGCCAGCCAGCGAGCCAAGCAGCGGGGGTGGGAGGACTGGGTGAGCAAGCACAGCACTGAGCAGGGCGCGTCTGCTCTTTTCAGCTTCTCAAAGGTGCCCACAGGATGGGCGCCTGACGGCACGACAGTCGATCACGTCCCCTTAGGCTCAGCCGAGGAAATTGAGCAGCTCAGGGCTGAATGGGAGTCTTGGTGGTGCGTCTCAGGGCCCCACCCTGCGCTTCCCTGGCCTGATCTCTCCCTCCTCGAGCCTCCCCCTCGTCCGTCCGTCCCTGAGCTGCTAGCAGTCCTCAAAAGCTACAAGCCCACCACGGGCCAAGGTTATGATTGCATAAACCCGCGGCATTTCTTGCATCTGGGCCTCGGGCCTGGACACGCTTTGCGAGCTTTTGCATTTGATTGAGCTGAGGCTTGACTGGCCCACCGCGTGGGTCAAAGTTTTCTTTCTGGCCAAACGTCTGGGCGGGTTTCGGCCGATTGCTCTCTTGCCTGTGCTCGCGAGGGTCTTGTGTCGCTTACGAAAGTCAGAGATCCAGGATTGGCAGAGAAGAAATTTCAGAAGCTTTTCTTGGGGGACCCGCGGCAAGGCCGCAGATAAGTGCGCCTGGGTGCAGGCCGCGTGGGCCGAGTGGGCTCATGGCCAAGGGATGGCGTCGGGGACGGTTCTGGTTGACCTCAAAAAGGCCTTTGAGCTCATTCGGCACCACCATCTCGTGGCCGCCGCAGAACGCACTGGGTTCCCGATGAGATTACTGTACCTCCTTATCAAGCTGTATCGTCAGCCGCGGATTTTAGACATGGGCACCTTTGTGTCGGAGCCCATTTTTTCAGAACAGAGTGTCCTGCCTGGCTGCGTGTTCGCAACGATGATGTTACAGCTCATCTTGCTACAGCCCCTAGATGAGGTGCGCAAAGTTGCTCGTGCAGTTTCACTCTCTACAGTTGTCGATGATATAGGTCTGCAGCGTTTCGGTGAAGAGGAGCGCGCCCATGCAGATCTCACTGCAGCAGGCTGCGAGCTAGCCCGTCAGTTGAAAAAGTTGACTTGTTGGTGGCGAGAGATAAGACGCGCTTCGTGAGCAGTGCAGCCCCTCTCAGGACGTCTTTAGAGGCCAGCCTAAAATGCCTGGGAGGGCAGCGCTCTCGCACTGAGAGGAACTTGGGGGTTGACTTCGGGTCTGGGCGGAGGTTGGGTCGCACCACTAAGCGAGAGCGTTTGGCTGCTGCCGTCGTCCGCTCGAGGCGTTTAAAGATGTTGCAAAAAGCTAAACGTCGCCGACTCATCGCTCGCATGGTCAAAGCCACCGTGGAAACCAGCGTTTCCTATGGCACCAGCGTCACTGGAACCAATGGGCAGGAGCTCCAGAGGCTTAGGCAGTTGGTAGGCAATCAGGGCCCCACCAGCTCCGCTTCCCTCACGCTCCGTCTCCTGCTCACCCCTGGAAGTCGGGTGGACCCTATTTTCAAGGCTTCCGCCGACCCGCTTTGTGCCATGCTGGCCGCGTGGAAGCAGCATTGGGTCCCCCAGCACATAATAACTCAAGGAATTCGGCAGGCCCAGCGACGAGCTCAATCCAGCAAAGGCAGTCCGTGGCAATCTGTTGCGGGGCCCTTCACGGCCTACCTGGCCACGCTCGATCGGTTGGGAATTCTTGCCGACGGGTTTAGTTCTTGGACTTTCCCTGGGGGCCTCACTATGCAGCCGGCCACCTTTTGCGTCCATGGGCTAAGGAAGCTCATCGACTTGGCCTGTGAGGCGTGGCAGTGGAAGCAGATTTGCACCACGCTTGACTGCCCCGAGCTCAAGTCAGGCGCTTTGCTCGAGCCAGTCCTCAGTCTGCTCGGTCGTTCTTCACCGCTGTCGCCTGATGAAAAGGCCTATCTTCGGTCAGTCGTCATCGGTGCTCAGTGGACGCAGCAGCGCATGTTCGAGGCTAAATATGTCCAATCCCCGCTCTGCTGCATCTGTCATAGTTTCTCAGGCACGTTGTATCACCGTCATCTGTTATGTGATGGGTTGGTCTCTGCTGGTTTGCAGCCCGCGGGCCCTCTCCGTCGTGTCCTGCCGCAGGAACCCACAGAGCTCGTGAGCTTGCTTGGCGGCCGTGTGCTTCTCCCGTTCGACAGGTTCCCGCAGCGGCCAGAGCCCGCGCCAGAGCAATTCTACCTGGGTGAGCGTAGTTTGCTCACTGGGGATTTATTTGTAGATGGTTCCATGTTTGATCACGATGTGCCCAATGCTGCCGTCGCAGGTTGGGCTGTCATTGCGATGTATCCTGACCCTCTTCCTCCGAGGGCTCTCGACGATTTTCGTGTGTCGGTCGTCTACGGAGGCGGAGTCGAGGGCCCGATTCAGTGCATCGATCGTGCTGAGTTGGTAGCGGTTTTGAATACTCTCAGAGTTGCCACGCCGCCTGTCACCATCCATACTGACAGTGAATTTGTTTTCTCAGGCGTTGTCAAGCGTGGGCGTGAGGCATGCTGTGCTTTGCTCGCTGCCCATGCTGACGTCTGGGAGCTCCTCTGGACAAAGCTGGAGGACTGGGGTGGGGTGGGACCCGCTTCTGTCGCGTTTGTCAAGGTTAAGGCCCATCCCACCCCAGAGCAGCGCCGCTCTATCGACCCGCGTCTCCTCGCGGGCAACGGTTTTGCCGACGAGTGGGCGAAGAAGATAGCGGCTCTGGGGCGCCTAGATTTCGAGCGTCGTGATCGGTGTCGGAAGTTTTCGAGGCTTGTGCTTGCGGTGGGAGAGCAGGTAGGCAGGGCCGCTCCCCTCGCGGCCGCCGACACCGAGCGCCTCACGGCGTCCCAGATGAAGGCGGCCCGCGCCGCGCGGCGCCAGGCCAGCGAGCTGGCCGCCGCCGCTGCCGCCGCCACCGCCGCCCTTGCCCCGCCTCCGAGCGCTCCCCCCCGTCGTGTCGTTCTCGCTGGGGGACACGCTCTGCGTAGGTGGGTCAGCGAGGAGCGTGGCGACAATTCGGGCGGAGTTGTCTGTGTTAGGTGCGGGGCCGTCTGCTCCACACACGTTGTCAAGCTGGGCCAGGTCTGTGGGCGCCCCTCGGCCTGGGGTAAGAGGGTGCTCAGAGGCCTGGCCCAGGGAAAGTTTCTGTTTCGGGGCCGCTGGATTTCGGTTCAGCTTGGGCCCCTTGTTCCAGAGAGCTCGGAGGTGATCTGATCCCGAGCTGTGCGCAGCGGTAGTGGGCAGGCTCACTGACCCCCCGTCGTTGTCAATCTGTGTCGCAGGAGGAGGAGGGCGAGGAGGAGGCGGAGGAGGAGGAGGAGGAGGGGGGGGAGGACGAGGAGGAGGAGGCGGAGGAGGATCTTGCCCCGGGGAGCCGTCGCCACCTCTGAGCCCCCAGGGGGAGGCTTCACCAGCGTGTTCCGCCGCCGCGCCGCGTGGGAGAGCCCAGAAGGGGGGCCGCCGCGCTGCCCCAGGGCCCAGCGGCTGCCCGCCGAGCGAGCAGCCGCGGCGCTGCGCCCGAGCTTCGCTCAGGGAGGCCACCAGAGAGGAGAGCAGAAGGCCGGATCGGGGCTCAAGAGACGGGGCCCGCGCAAAACGGGGGTCGGCCAGAGCGCCGGATCCTGCTGGACCCTGCAGGGCCAGGGTCGCACTGGCACGGGCTTGGGTGCAGGATCCTGCAACGCCTGACTGACCCAGGTCTGGATCGACCCTGGTCAGCAGGTCCCCGACTGGACCGGGGCCCGCGTGGAGGGGCCTGGCCGGGATGGTCACACTATGCAGGCTTGCCTCGGGCGCCCCTCCTGCATCCGGCACTCGGCAGGCCAGGGTGGCGCCGCCCTCGGTGAGTCGTCGGGGCTCAGGCGGGGGTCGAGGCAGACTCTGCCACGCGCAGAGGGGGGCAGGAAGAGCAGGAAGGCTTCTTAGAAGCACCCCTGCTTTTTAGAAGGCGCGGGCCTTGTCTGTAGATGTAGGGCCGGCGCGTTTTACGAGGTAGCTTCCTTCTACGTAAGGAGCCTTCCCCCCTCCCCCTACCCCCTTTTGCGAGCCGCCAACGCACGGGGGTCAGTCAGAGCGCCGGGTATTGCAGAAACCTGCAGAGCCAAGGGTGCATTGACTTGGGCTTGGGCGCAGGATCCTGCAGGATCTTTCAGGGTCCTGGAGGATTCTGCAAGGCCCGATTGACCCGGGTTTGCATTGACCAGGGTCAATGGATCTGATTGGAGCTGGCTGGGGGTCTGGGGTGGGCCAGCATTGGTTCTGGCCAGCAAGACTGGGGGGGGGAAGGTTCGAGGTGCTGGGTTCGAGAAGGTCTCTTGCCTCTTTCGGCCTTTGGGGCTCTTTTCGGTCCCAGGACTGTCACAAGTGTGTCCGGGATGACAAATTGTAACAGACGGATGCCAGGAGGGGTCCCTGGACAGATTTTGAGTGGATTTGGCTTCATCCCTCTCCTGACATGCTTTCTGCACCCCAGCCAGTTCAGACCACCTCGCCGCCTCCGAGCTCCAGGCGTCGGAGCGGCGCTCCGCGGAGATCCAGTTCAGACGCGGCCTCCCTGGAAGGCAGGCGGGGCCGAGCCAGTGCGCACATCCTACCGTATCTCCGTGGCGATCAGCACGAAGGAAACAGCCACTCGCATCCACCCGTGCCATACGCCGGATCGCGTTGGCGAAGAGAAGATGATGCCAGCTTATTCTCACCGCCTTGCGGAGCGGACATCGACGGTCACATAATTTACGTCGTGCGCGGCAGGGGGAGGAGGAGGGCCAGTGTAAACCCAAGAGGCATCAACGATGTTGGAATAAACCATCCCTCCAAGCTCCCTCTTCATAGGCCCATACAAAAAGGGCTTTCCATTGAGGGAACTGCCTCGTTGGAAGAAAACCGTCTGAAGACCCTGCAGCATGCCAAAGCTGCGGATCCCAAGGCCGCGGATCAACCTGACTGTTGCGTGTTGACGATCGAGAACCGTGCCATAATGCCATTGCCGGAACTGCAACACAGCGAATCAACGTAACTGTTGCGCCCGTGTAATCCTGAATCCTTTCGAAACATCGTTTCTGGTGCGTTGATGATGCTGGGAATCCGTGAAACTCGTGCAAGTTTTTCAAACGAATGTGCGCGGCGCTGAGGCGAGAGACACATTTTGAAAAGGAACGGCCCTCAATCCGTGAAGCTTTTGCACATTTTCGAACGAATGTGCGCCGCGCTGAGGCGGGAGCTACATTTTGAAAACCACCCGCCCTCAATCCGTGGAGCTCTTGCAAATGTTGAAAGCGAATGTGCGCGGCGCTGAGGCGAGAGCCACATTTTGAAAAACCACTCGCCCTCAATCCGTGAAATTGTTGTCACTTTTTCCCTACCTAGGCTCTGCCTAGAAGGGTTCTTACTCTCTTGGCATAAAGTGCCGGGCAGTGGGAGCCGGCCCGGGCGGTTCCCCCAGTATCCGCCCCGCGGTTCCCCCAGTTGCGTCCCCTTAGCTTAGCGTTGCTTATATTATCTTAGCTTAGCGTATTTCATCTTAGCTTAGCTTACCTTCATCTTAGCAGAGCCCAACTTCTAGGTAGGGTCGCACTGGGGTAATTCAGCTTCAGAGTAATACATGGTGAGGCAGTCTCAGGCGAAACGCCCGGCCCCCCCTAAAACTGGTTTCGGGGTGCGACAGGGAGAAATTAATTATAAGGAGAAGTGCTTGTCCCTAGTCCAAATCTGGGGGGGGGGGGGGGGGGTGCGTCCGCGGGGCTAAATACGCCTAGTCGGGAGCTGCAGCAGGAGAATGTTCCCGTGTATCTTTGTTTCAAAAAATGAAGCTGCTTCGCCGCTCTTCCACAATCCTTTTGGTTGAGGGCTGCAACATGGTAGCGCGGAGCTGGGCGCTGTTCCGCAGCCGAGGAACCACTGCGCGAGTCTAGCAGCGGAACGACGCCGTGATGGAGCAGCAGCTGCAACAGCAGCAGCAGCGGATAGCGGGCCTACTGGCCACGGTGCAGCAGCTGCAGCAGCAGCGGCAGCAACAGCAACACCAAGCAGCAGGACAGGCAGCTCAACAGCAGCCAGCTCGCGTCGCCCAGCGCTTCGAAGGAGTACTGGGCGCGAAGACCATAGGGAAGGTCAAGCAGTTCGGCTGCTCCAAGAGCGGATGGTCGACCTGGGAGTTTCACTGGCGAGCATTTATGGTGGCGAACGACAAGCGTTACAAAGAATTCCTCGAGAAGCTAGATGGCGAGACCTTGGACCAGCTGGACGTCGCCAAGAATGCCACGATGAGCGTGGACGATGTAGACTGGGAGGACCAGAGCACCCAGCTATACTACATGCTGGTGCTCGCGATGCCAGCAGACCCTGCGGGTGAGACCATCATGCGTAACGTTCTACATGGAGAAGGTGGTCAAGCGTGGATTCGCCTGAAGGGCGAGTACGCACCCAATGAGCCTGGCAATGCCGTGGCGCGTCTGAGGCAGCTCATGTCTGCACAAATCGCGGCGAACGCAGACGTGGCCAACGAGACCGAGAAGCTGGACCTAGAGATCAGCAAGTACGGGAAGGCGGCCGAGGAGCAGCTGAGCGACAACATCAAGGAGGGGATCTTGCTCGGCGCGCTCCAGAACTAACACGACTTGCAGAAGCATGTCTTCCGCGACCTGCGGGACCCGGCCACCTACCTCGACGTGAAGAACGAGGTCCTGAGTGCCCTGATGGCCCAGCGCAGCTTTGACGACGACTCGATGGAGATCGGTGCGCCGAAGGGAAAACCGAAGGGAAAAGGACGCGGCAAGGGTGACAAGGACAAAGACAATCATACTAATAAGAACAAGTTCGAGCCGAAGGCGAAGGGCAGCCCGAACCACCTGAGGAAGTGGTGCAGTCACTGCGAGAAGCCGAACCACGTCAAGGACGACTGCCGTAAGTTCAAGCGAGAGAACGAGGCCGAGGCGGAGGCAGAACAGAAGGCCGAGGGTGAGAAGAAACAGCGCCGTGCCATGGCGGCAGCACTTGCCGCAGGTGGTGGCGTGCTCCCTACTGGACTTCCTCCCAAACCTGGGTGCGACGGCGCTGGCTGGCACTCGCAGCGCCTCGCGCGCCGCGCGGTGTGCAGGGGGCCGCAGTTGCCCGTCCCGAAGTCATCGGGATCAGCCTCGACAGCGAGCGCGATCCCGACGGTGCCGACTGGCATGCGCGGGATCAACGGCCCCCTTGCAGAGCAGGGCGCGATCAAGCCGAGGTGCATTTTCGCCCTGTCGGTGGAGCACTCCAGGCCGAGGGCGAGGTCGGCGGAACCCGGTGGATCGATGCGCAGCGCGAGCGGTGACAGTGTTTGCGTCTCAGGCATCCGCGGGGTCAGAGGGATCATGATAGATTCGGGGGCCCAGATCACAGCGTTCCCCTGCGACATGCTGAAGGACAAGGGCTACGTGCTCGCCAAGCCAGGCATCTCCAGGCAGCGGGCCATCGATTGCGCGGAGGTGCAGCGCTACGGCAAGACGGACGTTCGGCTGAAGACGGGGCAGGGCGCGATCCAGATCTCGGCGGAGGCGGCCGACGTGGAGTTCCCAGTGATGTCCGCTGACGCGATTGCGAAGCAGGGCAGCTCGGTTTTCCACTCTCCCTTGGAAGACTGGATTGTGGACAGCCCGATCTCACCCCCCCCAGCATCGGCGAACAAGATTATGCAGGGGAAAGATCGTGGCACGTGCTACCTGGAGCACGACGAGATGTTGGGCGGCTCCTCCGAGGGCAAGCGGGCGGTGCGCATGGCGAGCGTCGGCGAGCTGGGCGGGATCATCGGCGAGCTGGGCGGGGGCGTCGGCGAGCAGCTGGGCGACGAGCTGTGCCCGGCGCGACGCGCAAGACCCTGCGCGCCCAGGTCCCTGCCGCGGGGGCCCAACAGCAGTTGCCGACAGCGCTCGGCCCAGACCGCAGCGAGAACGCCACCTTGAAGGCGAAGGCGCTCGCGAGGCCAGGGCAGCCCTCGGACGAGGAGAGGCGAGCACGCGCAGTGCATCATCTCCCTTTCAGGCCGCGGCGCAGCGACTGCGTCATGGGCCGCGCGAGGGGCGCGCCTCTCGAGGTGAGCATGCGGCCGAAATGCGACGACGAGTACCCAGTCGTGGAGATGGACTTCTTCTACGTGGCCACCGACGCGATAGCTGGGAAGTACCCCGTGGTGAACGGCTACGTCGTGAAGGCCGTCGGCTTCAGGAAGCTGGAGCATAGGGGGCGTGGGGGGCTGCCCGCGATCCTGAGCGTCGCGGACTGCAGGTCCAGCACCTCAGGCGCGCTCTTTGGCTCCAAGCACATGGGAGGCTACAGGGCGCACTTCGTGGCCAAACTCATCGACAGCTGGGGCCGCGCGACGGTGATTCTGCTCGCGGACGGCGAGAATGCGATCGTCGCTCTGGCGGAGCAGGCGAAGAAGCTCAGGTCGCACTCTACGATAGTGCGGCAGGGCCCAGCGTACTCATCCAAGAGCATGGGGCGCATCAAGGCCAGCAACATAGCAGCTGCGGGACTACTCCGCACGTTGCGGTTTTCACTCGAGACCGAGCTGGGCTGCAAGTTCGAGCTCTCGGACTCCATCCTCGCCTTCCTCGCCAACGCGGTCGGCTGGTGCATCGCGAGGTTCCAGCCGAGAAGCCACGGAGGATCCAGCTACAAGTGCCTCTTCGGCCGCGAGTACGCGGGCGAGGTGGCGGAGGTCGGCGAGCAGGTGTGGTGCCGCATTGCGGTTCGAGTCGCAGCGGGCCAGGGCAAGTTCGAGGCGCGCTTCGCGAAGGGCATCTGGGTGGGCAAGTCGGAGTTCGACGACCAGCGCCTGGTGGTCGACCTGCAGCGCTGGCTCTTGAAGGCCCGCTCGGTCCGCCGCATGCCTGAGGAGTTCCGCTGGAGCGCTGAGCTCGTGAAGCAGATCGACGTCGCACCTTGGGCCCCCGTGCCTGAGCGAGTGAGGTCGAGCATTAGGAAGTCTATGTATACCGCAGAGAACATGTTGAACACGCGCGGTCCGACGGACAGCTGCCCGAAGTGCACCTACGAACGGAGCCGGCGCAGTGAGCAGTGCAGGCGGCGCTTCGAGACCATCGCGCATGAGAGGCTCGAGGCGAAGCTCGCGGAGGAGGCCAGGGGCAGGGCTGCCCCAGGCACTCCAGCGACGCCGGGGCCAGCGCCCCAGGCTCCCCCGCATGTGCCTGCCGACGCGCAGGCAGCGGCCTCGAATCCAGCGGCGGCAGCGCCCTCGACAGCACCTACGCCAGTCGCGGCGTCTGCGACCCCAGGGATGGACACGAGCGAGCCTAGGGCACCGGCGCGAGACCCCATAGCAGAGACCTCAGAGCCGAACGAACGACAGAGGATCGGTGCGCTGGCGCAGGCGCCCGAGGTCGTGGTCATCGCGGGCCTCTCCGTGTGCGAGCTGGCGGTCTGCGAAGAGGACGACGACCAGGAAGAGGACGCGCTCTGGGGCCCGACGCATCGGGCTGAGGAGCGGTGTGAGGGCTTGTGCGAGACGCAGGTGTGCCGCTGTGCCTACCGACACGACCATGCTGGACAGTGCGCGTGCAGGAGATGTCTTATCGGCTGCGCCAAGAAGCTCGATCCAGACGCCGAGGTCGTGGCGAGCCTATGCGCGTTGTGGTCGAACCGTAGGGTGCGCGAACAGCCCGACTGGAACCTCGACCCGAACTCGCCCGAGCCGACGGTGAATATCCACTGCGATTACTACGCGGGCGAGCCCCCTCGACGGGAAGAAGTGCCAGAAGGGCAAGGCGGACGAGCTCCAGGCCATGGCCGAGTGCGGCGTCTACCGCAAGATCCGCATCGCGGACTGCGAGCTTGGTGGCAAGCACGTCGGGGGCTTCCCCATCGCGCGCGAGAAGGCTGGCGAGGTGCGCTTGCGCTTCGTGGCGACGGAGGTTGCCCGCCAGCACCGTGGGGACAACCATCAGGGCGCACCGCCACTCGCAATGATTCGCGCGATTCTCAGCTTGGCGGCCAGCAGACCAGACAGCGACGGACAGCGCAGACGGTGCATCCGCATCTGGGATGTCCGCAAGCCGTTCTTTAACAGCGACGTGACTGAGAATATATACGTCCACCCAGGCAGCGAGCTGTGCGAGCGAGGCTACTGCTGGGAGCTGTTCACGGCCCTGTACGGGGCCCGACTGGCCAGCCAGCTGTGGGGCGAGAACGTGAAGGTTACCTCGGACGACTCTGGGGGCATGGCGCTGAAGTGCGCCCCTGGCATGTTCTACTTCGCCAACCTCTGCAGCGACGGCAACGACGCCACGATGGGGGTCCACGGCGACGACTTCATCGCGGAGGGCCATGTCGGGACGCTCGACCAGCTGGATGACGTCCTGAGCGTGGAGTACGAGATCACCTCATCGCCGCCGCTGGGGCCTGGGCACCCTGGAGTTGCCCGCTACCTGAAGCGCGTCTGCGGCTACGTCGACCAACCGCCCGAGACGCTGCTGCCGGGCTTCTTCTGGCACGCGGACCCGAAGCACGTGGCGGAGATCATCAAGTTCGGATCCAAGGAGGGTGCCGAGGCGGTCGACGCACCAGGCACCAATGCGATCGGGGCGCAGCTACGCAATGCGACGGATCCGATGCCCACGGCCGAGGCACGCAAGACAGCCTCAGCGGGAGGCATCGCGCTCTACCTGGCGGCGGACCGGCCCGACATCATGTTCGCGAGCAAGACCGTCGTGCAGGACGTGAGCAAGCCGAACTATCAGATGAATGCGAGGCGCAGTCGGCTGGCCCGATACTTGGGGGGACACCAGGTCCCAGTGTGGTGCTACGAGCTGCAGGGCCTGCCGAGTATCCGGAGGGCCGACGGCGATGCCGACTGGGCGGCGCCGACGGCAGTGGCACGCAAGAGCACATCTGGAGGCGCGATCAGGTTCGGCAATCACACCTGGGAGTGCTACTCGGCCAGCCAGGCCACCCAGGCTCTCAGCAGCGGCGAGTCGGAGTTCTACGCGCTCGGCTCGGTCGAGGCGCGGGGCTTGCAGATGAAGTTCTTCCTGGGCGAGGTCGGGATCGAGGTTCGCCTGGTGGTGGCCTCGAACAGCGCGGCCGCGCGGGGCATGGCCCAGAGGCACGGAGTGGGCAAGGTCCGTCACTTAGAGCTGCGCTACCTCTGGATACAGGAGCGGCTGCGACGCCATATGTTCGAGCTCGTGAAGGAGGACGCGCGCAAGATGGTGGCAGACATATTGACGAAGTATGTTGACAAGGAAACCATGGCGACGCACCTGCGCGAGCTGAACCTGAGGATGGCGGGTGCAGCCATGATGCTATCGACCCTCCTTGCGATCCCTGGCGCGGCGGCGGCCAAGGACCAGTGTGAGATGGACTACGAGGGCGAGAAGCTCGAGGCAGTGCAGTCGAGGGTCTCCCCCTGGTTGCTGGTGAGCTTGGTCGTGGTGCTGTGTATTATCGCGTACCTTTGCGGCTGGTGCGTGGGCAGGCGCAGAATGGTCTCCCAGACGGCCGAGGAGGACCCAAGAGCGGCGTCGATAGGCGAGAGGCACCAGCACCACGACGAGTATGCCGAGTCGAAGCAGCAGTAGAGAACGCAGGCTCTATGGAGGCTCGAAGAACAGAAGTACATAACATGGGAGGTTCAGCGCCTGTACGAGGTCTACACCGTCGGCGAGTTGTGGGAGCTGCTAGTCGAGTGGGGCTTGGTGCTCAAGGAGGGCTACACGAGGAAGGAGGAGCTCGTCGAGAGCGCTGGAAGGAACAGCCCGACGGAGATGCAAGTGATCACCCAGCTGACGAATGAGTGGAAGGACCACGGGGTCGACGTGAAGTGGCGTGCTCGTATGCGGGCGAGCGGACGTGACATCCAAAGGATGCTCACCGCCACCGCGGAGGTCATGAACTGCCTGCGGGAACGCCTTCACGGATCATGAGGGCGCAGACAGTGGATGAGGGCATTTTGCCCGCTCTTGCGCATGCCGACCACGAGGAGAGGTGCTCGTCCCTAGTCCAAATCTGGGAGGGGGGGGTACGTCCGTGGGGCTAAGTACGCCTGGTCGGGAGCTGCAGCAGGAGAATGTTCCCGTGAAGCTGCTTCACCGCTCTTCCACAATCCCTTTGGTTGAAGGAATGGAGGAGGAGGAGGAGGAGGAGGAGGAGGAGGAGGGGGAGGCGGAGGAGAGGAGGAGGAGGAGGACGGAGGAGGAGAGGAGGAGGAGGAGGAGGAGGAGGAGGGAGGAGGAGGGGAGGAGGAGGAGGAGGGGGGGGGAGGAGGAGGAGGAGGAGGAGGTGGAGGAGGAGGAGGAGGAGGAGGAGGAGGAGGAGGAGGAGGAGGAGGAAGGAGGAGAGGAGTGAGGAGGAGGAGGAGGAGGAGGAGGGGAGGAGGAGGAGGAGGAGGAGGAGGAGGAGAGGAGGAGGAGGAGGAGGAGGAGGAGGAGGAGGAGGAGGAGGAGGAGGGGGAAAAAAAGGGGGAGGGGGAAGCACAGGCAGCGAATGCAACAAAGTATGTGTAAGACTACCCTCAGCATTCGTACATATATTGCATTCGATGGAACAACGTCTGCCGCGCATTCTGATGACTCCACACGATGACATACTGAATATCCACGAGGACCCGAGTCGGGAGCCAGTCTCCAGCGTCCTGGCAAGTGCCAGAAGCAAGACTGCGGTTAGGAGTGCGCAAGTGGTTGAAAAATAACACATCCGTTGGAATAAAAACACAGTGTGTGAAACACACATGCAAAACACATTAACAGCACACACTGTGGAAACAAAACACGGTGGAAAACAAAACACACACACAGTGTGTGTGTGTGTATGTGTGTGTGTTTTGTCACAGTGAATGTCTTTTGTCCACAAACTTTGTCCACAGTGTGTGTGTGTGTGTGTGTGTGTGCGTGTTTTTTTTCCACAGGGTGGTTCACATGTTCCGACTGCCGGAACCATGTGGCGCGATCTGCCCGCGCCCGCACCCCCCAGAGCCGTGCTCCGCCAAACACCTCCTGCCCCGCCGCACCTCTCAACGGGTTGACCTCGTTCCCCTCCTCCACTTCCTCTCGTTTCTTTATCCCTGCCTTCATTGTGGCCCTCTGCGCCTCCGTGCTGCTCGCGCAAAAACTCCGCGGGCGGGAGGTTATCAACGGCGGCAGCCACGCTGGCAACAGGCTGGCTTGCCAGGAGCTCCACGAGGGGGGTGGCCCAGACGCGTGGAGTATGCAGCAGGCCGGGAGAGTTCCCAGAGAAGGGTGTCGCTCAAAGCGAGGACGGGGCTGCAAAGTAATCATGTTTGTCATGATGGTGGCGATTATTGTGGCGTCGACGACCACGAGTGCGTCCTGACGATGACTGCGAAGACGATGACGATGATAATGACGATGAGAGCATGGTGCTCCAGCGTCGGCGAGGTAGCAGTGGAGAGAGAGTGTGAGAGAATGCGCGGCGACAGACGAGGACGGAATCCTGTGTCACTGTCGTTCGTTGAGCGAATTTGAGCCCTGCGTGGTGACAAACACCATATGGGGCGACTTCTGCAGGGATCTCAGGGACACAGAGGGGGACTGGAAGCCCGATTCTTCATTCGGTGGCACGATTTGAAGCTCGTGGTTCGTGGTTGCGCTTTTGGGTCACTGCTTCGGCCTGGGTGGTACAGCGCTGCATAGTGCAGCATCGACCCTCACCCCTCTCGATTGGGGTTGCGAATCCGCTTCGCGATCTCTTTCCACTTGTTTCGTGATGTGAATGGCACGCGCGCGAGCTAGTAAGGTCAGCATTGAAACACGTGTACGTTGCGAGGGGAAAAGAGCTAGTGTTTCTTGGTTTGTTCGAGCTTCGGGGTTCGTGCTTCGTGTTTCGTAGAGCTTGTGGTTCCTGGCGTGGGGCGTGGTTGTTCGTTGTTCCTGGTTCGCAGGATTGGTCGTGGCTTGCGGCTGGTGGATACGCTGTTCGTGGCAGTGGGCCTTGATGATTGGTGCACGTTCCCAACTCGAGGAGGAGGACGAGGAGGAGAAGGATGAGGAGGAGGAGGGAGGAGGAGGAGGAGGAGGAGGAGGAGGAGGAGGAGGAGAAGGAGGAGGTGAAAAGATAAGCGGGTGATTTCGATATGGAGGAATTTATCCTGGGCTCGAGGCTCAAGCCGGCTGCGGGTGAAGGAATCGTAACAGCCCCCCTCAGATCTGGCACGCATATACAGATCGGGGCAGAGCTGTCCTAAAACAGTGCACGCGTATGTACCACAATCAGTACTAGAGCATACTTTTACTGACAATGGCACAAAGAAGTAAAGAACCACTAAAAGGGATACCAGTGCTCAACTGATGTCTGCGGGGGCACAGAGGCAATCTTTTGTTGCATATGCTAACCCCATGTCTCACTCAGAGAAATCTCCCCGCTCGAACCGGTTTTTTTTGTTTGTTTTTTTTTTTTTTTTTTTTTTTTTTTTTTTTTTTTTTTTTTTTTTTTTTTTTTTTTTTTTTTTTTTTTTTTTTTTTTTTTTTTTTTTTTTTTTTTTTTTTTTTTTTTTTTTTACTGACATGGCACAAGAAGTAAAAGAAGTAAAGAACCACTAAAAGGGATACCAGTGCTCAACTGATGTCTGCGGGGGCACAGAGGCAATCTTTTGTTGCATATGCTAACCCCATGTCTCACTCAGAGAAATCTCCCCGCTCGAACCGGTCAGCCACAATCCGGAGAACCTCTGCCACACCGAACCTCGTCTTCAATTCGTTCACATCAATGCGAATATCCTTCAGGATGTCTTGTTCCCTTTGCTCAGTGGTCAGAGGAGGCTTGACCTTCTTGGAACTGTCCCGGCTGCGGCTCCGACTCGGGGCTCTTTCTTTTTTCTTATTTTTTATTTTTTTTTTTCTTTTCTTTCTTTTTATCTTATTTATTTTTTTTCTATTTTTTTTTTTTGTCTTTTAATTTCGCTTTTTTTCGTGTTTTTTTTTTTTCTTTTCGCTTCTTTATTTTCTTATTTTTTTTTATTTTTTTTACTTCTCTTTTTTTCCTTTTGGATTTCTGTTTTTTCGCTGTCTTTGACGCGGAGCGGCTCCTGCTTTTGACATGGCGCTCTGCTGCCTGATCCGCCGGTTTCGGTGGAGGCGGTGGCAGCACAGGTGGTTTGTCTACCCATGCGTTTTCCGGTGGGATTTCGGTCCAGTCTCTCTTGCAATAGCAAACCTTGATACTGCGATCAAAGCCGTCTGCTGCATCATGTGACATCTTGTGATTCGAACCAGTCACAAAGTGCTGTTTCAACCTGAACGAAAGGGTGTCCATGGCTTTTTCACGAGTGTTCACTTGCTCTCGCTTTATAACCGCGCAGTATTGCGGCAAGCATTCTGGACATTCTTTGTAAATGTACGCGACATCTGGGTGCAACATGTGATGGTATCGAAATGTACAACAAGTGTGTTCCTGCCCATCAAAGTCTTGAGCCAACACACCTCCGTGCTATGACTACGCGTAGATACCAAACCTACGCTTCAACGTAGAAAGCCTAGCTTTGTCAAGGTATTTTGTTCCAATGTCTGAAATGTTGTCTGTTGTTGTCACTTTGGAGATATCGATACGCTTTGTTTGCACAAGTTGTTGTACATGTAAAAACTTAATATCAACATGTTTCAACCGTCCTACGCCTAGTCTTGATGCTATGGCCCTGCCTGCGCTGCTGTCTGATTTCACAGTGGCCGAGGTCTCATACCCCAGCTCTTTGATCAGTGAGTGCGCATGCAGTGCCTCTGCGGCGCCGGAGGCTATGGCATATAGCTCGGCTTCGCCGCTGGATTGGGCGATCACGCTCTGCGTGCGGCTGTAATTACAGAGAACGCACGAGCCCCACATGACAACTCCAGCAGATGTGTTTTTTCTCGTCTGCTGGCACCCTGCCCAATCCGAGTCAACATAGACAGTTACCTTGTCGGAAATCGAATCGCACCTAAGATGAAGATGTTCGTTTCTGGTCCCCTTCAAATATCTCAACAGGTGCTTCAACTTACGGACATCTCTTTTTGTAGGCGACGCGAGTTGCCTCGCAAGCTCTTTGACTGAAAATTGGATGTCTCCTCGTTCCTGACAGATGAATTGTAATTTACCAACTGCACACCTGTATTTGTGGTGTTCGACCTTATCTAAAAGCACGAACTCCTCCCCGACAGAGCCCTTGACATTAGGGGTGTCTTTCACACCTGGTGTGCTTACGGGAGTACAATGCAACATGTTGTATATGTTCAATGTGTCATCAATATACTTGTCTGTGAGGAAAACGTTGATACCGCCGTCACGTGTTACATACATCCTCCCGAGGTACTTCGTGGGAACCTCGTCATTAAAACGATCACCACGCTTGAACAACACATGTTTTTCGAGCTGTCCAAAAAACTCATCAATCTTATTGTTGTCTCCTACTGCAATGGGATCATCTACGTGTATGCTAATACGAACTCCGGTTTTCTTATTCCAAAACAACTGCGGGTCGGTCAAACAACGGTTGAAACCAAGATGGTCTGTTAACACGCTCGCAATGAAATCTTGGAAATTCTGCGGTGCCTTTATCAATCCATTCATGGCCTTGTTCATCTTCCAAACCCATCCGGGGTACCGAGAACGCCAGGGTTCTGGCGGGCGGCAGAAAACATTCTCATCTGATATGTCTGCATGCATAAAAGCAACACTAAAATCTCCAATGCATACCACCAGCTTCTCTGCCATGGCGATTGCTAGCAAAATGCGAAGGCCAATCGGTGTTGGCGTTGCAGCGAAAACGTCGTCCCGGTTACTTGCGATTTTCAGATCTTTTGCAACAAGCCTAGACCGCACCTCGTCCCCTTTCATCTTGTGTACCCATCCTGTTTCAATTGGTTTACTTGAAGCCTTATCTTCGCGCCACCAAGAGTACACTCTGAAGTGGTCTAAA